CTATATATATATATATATATATTGTCCTTTGATTAGATTTCCGAGTCTATGAGAGAATGAAGTAACTCTTCTCTGCTGCAGCATTTTTTTACTTACAAATTTGGACATCTTATACAGAGGTCTAGTTTTTAAGGTTCTTCCACATTCAATATCCCACAAACTTGAAATTTGTTACAATTATCACGAAAATTCTGACACGCAATAATCTTTACGACAAAGACCTAATAAAGGTAATAAATAAATAATTATTTTTACATAAAATTTCAATATTTTTTAAAACATTATAGCCAATCATTTCTACGTAGACATTAGTGACTTTTTTTTCCTTCTGTTGATTATTGTTAAATCAGATTTCACCTTTTGTGTGGTAAATGATTTGACCGAAGATTCTTAAGCTTTGATTGAGACATGAATGATTTTATCAGGCTTACTTCTTAACATGATTGATTCGAGCTTTTATAGAGATGATGCTTTGCTTGCCTATGAGCAGACAAGATCACAGCTACATGTTCCTCATGGTTCTAATAGCACATAATAGATCCTTTCATGGTAAAAGGTGAAGTAAATAAATAATTTCCTAAGCTGAGAAAAACTCAAAAAAAGGCCAAACGTCTTAATTGTTCATCTCCGAATAGAAATTACAGGCTACCCATAAATTATCATTATACTCAGACATTGCAAAAATTTCAGCTTCCAATATGCCTCACAAGATAGAATTTCTCTTGTAATTGTAGTCCAGATAATGCACCTATACCAGCAACATGCATACAACAATTATCACTAGATTTGCTTCACTTATCAAGCAAGGACTTCATTAAATACAATCTGTTGAAGCTCTGCCCGGCAACCCTGCAAAATTATTCAACAATGATAAATTTTTCAGAATGTCAAGCCATTGATTGTTTTAGACATTAAAATAACTAAACATTTTTAACTGCTTGCAGATACCCACAGAGAACCTGTAATATCTTCCCTCTTCTCTCTCTCTCTCTCTCTTCCTTTTTTAGCAAAACAAAAAACTAATAATAATGCTTCTTATTATTTTGCTCCAAAAGAAATTTGATTACATATAGGACATTTTGTTGTTGTTTTCCTTTCAGGTCTATGAAAATTTTACCAGTACAAGTTAAGTAGCAATCACCGGTAATACAACTACAAGTTTCTAACAGTCCAGATAGTTGCAGAAGACAAACGAAGGAAAAATTGTATCGGTTACAATGCCCAAATTGAATGCAATCAAATTACCAAAGCCTTACAAAGAGATAGATTAGGGGAAGTCAAGGCAAAGAGGCACATGCTTTTCAATTATTTTACACCAAGCATTGATGCAAGTCTAAAAGAAAGAAACTGTATGTGAAACACAAAAACAGGCTTCAAGGTACAACTAGGACTGCATAGATTTCAAAATGTCAATTTGCAGAAGATTTTAAGATGTTATGCTATCCTGAAAAATAAAAGATAAGATAAACAGACAACATACCCATTGATTTGGTTGCAGTAATTAGCAATTTGATTTGTTATGAGAAAGCTCTCCAACCGTGATGGCTCAGGAATTGGTTTGAAGATGGGGTTTGAGGGGTCCTCCTCAGGCAAAGGCTCCTCCCCAACAGCTTTCCGCGCCATGTTCTCTGACCTACAGATACAAGACAGAACAAACATGCATAACCATATAAATACAATAATTACGTTATAATTATGTGAATTAAGAAAACAAAAGCACAATATAAAGCCTTTTCATAAAACAAAAACCACTCCGCCCAAAGGAGAAGAGAGGGGAATTTCAATAAACTTAGGACACTTAATGCTTACGCAGTAAGCCCACAGGCTACATTGCAATGCTTCCACAATCAAATAATGCCATCAACTTAACATTTTTGAACCTAAGACACTTGAAAACTTTGTGCCTCAGAAATTTCAAGGACATCATACACTTAAAAACATTTTTAATTTTATTATAAACAAAATGGTTTTTCCTTTAACATCTCTTCCCAGCGAACTCACTAATGAGGTAGAATATGGAGTTTGTTTGAATAACATGGTTAGCTTAAGTATACTACCTTCTTTTCTGAAGCCATGACTGTTGCTGGGCTTGTTGACGTGACAGGCTCCTGTAGTAAAATTGAAACTGCAAAAAGGCAATTTACATTACAAACATAAATTAACAGCTAATGAAGGCAGTGTAATATCAGAGAACAGGGAACACAAACCTTCTGTTGTTCCATTGACAAATCATCCATACATTCAATCAAAAATTCCATATTCCTCTCCATATATGGAGTAGTTGACAATTGAAGATGGTCATAATCACACTAAAACAGAAAACTATAGTTAGAAGAAGGCAAATGTCACAGTCTTTTACCAAAGTACTACTGAAAAGTATTTCATCAACATTTTATATTTCACCTGTGTGACTGGTGTATCAGATTCCAGTTCAGTCATAAAGGCACTGATAAGGGCAGAATTTGCAACTTTGATCTGTCACAGAAAAGCAGCACAACCGTTAACATGAAAGCGGGAACCACGTTTGTTTCATTTGAGAAAGAACCAGAATTAAATAAAAATCAAAAGTCAATCCCAAACAATCACTACCACACTATCAAGAAACATGTGAAATACTTAATAAATGCTGAAGATAGAAGTGCAACAACACAGATTTCGGGAAACATAAGGCCAGCCCAATCTTCAAGAGCATCAATTCATTTGACAAATCAGTGACAATTCAAATAATGTAAGATAAAATATGATAAATCCTAAAGGATTCCAGCAAACTGGGTTTTTTTGGTTACTTTCTATATCATTACAGCACATTCCAACGTCACTGAAAGAACATGGTCACTCATCATTGTGACTTTGCTCATATGAGGATCGTTCACTTATTTGAACTTGAATCAGCACGGTCACAGCTAGCACTGGACTAGTGGTTATTTCACACAAGATGATAGTGAAGGATAATGCAACCTCAATAATAGATTACAATCGTTCATCAAATCAGTAAGAGTCAGAAGACTTAGAAGCTTACAGGAATTTCCTCAAAAATATCCACCCATGACAAGTTTTTCTCCCTCAACCTATAACAGCAAAAGAAACCATCAATATGAGATCATATAAAATTCATTCTTATGAAATTCTGACAGCAAGAAGAAACCATACTTTTCTCCAGTAAAACTATTAGCTCGGTAAAGTTCCATGAAAGAATCAGATAGCTTCAAAGCCTTGAGTGCCAAGACACCTTGATTGGACCTTGAAGGATCATAGATAATGCATACACACCTCCTAATATTCTCCTGCAATGATTAACAATTAAACATAGAAATAAATAAAATCATGAACTATACTTTGACAAGCGAATCTAAAGGGAAAAAAAAGGGGGGGGGTGGGCAGGTCCTAAAATGCTAAGGACTGAAGCATAAGATTCAATTATTGACTCGCTTTAAGGTTCATTCAGCATTGAAGTTATGTTTAATGGCAACCATGAAGTCTCATTCTGATTCTATACTTTTTCTTAAAAAACCAAAAAGCAAGTATTATAACATGTTACAATATCTAAACCATTTGGAAAGTAACACAAAAGTTGTAAGTTGAAAAAAAGGGCCATTGAGCTTTTCTATTTCTTTTTCTTTTTTCCTTTTTTATCCATAGTTTAAAGAGAAACATCATGTTCATCACCACAAACACATTTACACACAATTCAGGAGATTCACAAAAAACTGCCATCGAACAATGACAAGGACTTTCCTGCACTCTTATTCAAGTTAAAGCAGGACACATGTTCTTTTTACAGGCACTGGCCTGTCCGCATCACTAAAATCAGATTTTATTCTAGCTGCCACACTCATGCTGGGTCAACAGAAGCATGAAGGGGGAGACACATAAAATTGATGCAGAGATTTACAGAAATTTCCATATTGCAAGGAAATGTAACAAAGGTGAAGCGGCACTTTTAAACCCAGTACCTGATAATTCATGAAGGTCTCAATTAATTCAACTGTCTGATATGAACCCAAAATTGTTGATTGGTACCTGAAAATATGCGAGGCAAAGCTCACTTCACAACATAAAATCGTACAAGAATGCAAAATTTAACCATAAATTAAAGTTCAAATTATTTGAATAACTATAACTAATAAGATACTGTCCACACTACAATAGTGGAATCACAATTGGTTATCAACTGAACTGACTGTTAGCAATGAACAAAAGTAAAAATCCAACAAAACCAAAAAAAATAATAATAATAAAGCATGTCCTTGGCAATAAAAAAAACACAGACATACCATCCAACTGTGTTGTTATCAACATTAACCTCTCTTAGACATCTCATCATCTCAAGCTGATAATTAGCTCCATCAGCTTCAATTTCCTCGTCTTCCTCGCGGATCTGCCCCAACCATTGAAACACGATACACCCAAATTTACGAAAGAAAACAATATATATAAAAGAATAAAAATTAAAAATTAAAAGGAGATTTGCCAAGTTACCGGGAAAGGGAAACAGTTAGTAACTTCAAGGACACTGCCAACATCCAACCCAAGAAGCTGGCCTGTAACCAGTGCCGGTGAAAACTCCTTGCAGTGTTTGATTATTTTTAATATCACCTAATTTTTGCAAATTTTATAAAAATTATTGATAAGAAAATAGATATTGAAAGAAAAATAGGAAAAAGATTAGAAGAGGAACAGAGGAATACCAGTCCTTCGATTTGGACAACTCGGAGAGGAGAAGCAACCTCCTCCGTCGCTGCAACCTGAAGGAACGACCTAGCCATTGAGTTTGCCATCGTTGAATTTTGGCTGTGTCTTCGAAGAAAAGCTCTGTTAGCAAAACGACTGTGAGAAGAGAAGAGTAGCCCTAGGTTCTGCTCTGCTTTCAACGCTTTTGGTATGTTTTTTCCGCTTCTTTTTTGGGTCGGATTCGGATATATGGTTGTAGGCCTATTGGGGGTGATCCTCTTTGGGTAAAATTTGGGCTTTGAGTCCAACCTGTTTCCTAAAGTAAGTCGACTGTGCAAGGTTTACTTTAGATAAGGCTGTGTTTGGTTCAAAAAAATATATATAGTGAGAATAGGATAATTATTTTGTAAAAATAAAATAAATGATAAATAATTATTATATAATTTGATTTATGAAAACAGAATAAGAAAGTAATTGTTATTATGAATAATCATTTCTTTCAATCAAATAAAATATTAAAGAAAGATTAAAAATAGAGAGGGAAAGGCTCCCCATATCAAACATGCTCTACAAATGTTAGAACCCATAAGATTTTGTTAAAGACGTTTAGGATTCAATTGCAAAATGGTGGGAAATTTTAGACCAAAAGTGTAATTACCCAAGATGAAGCTTACCCTTTAAATAACACTTTGCTTAGTTGCTATTTTTTATAGTACTAATTGTTTAAAACACAATCTTAATGGTTTTCATAACACAAACCATATGTTTTGAAAAAATATATATATAGTACTTAAATATTAACATTTAACCTTTTTTTTTTTAACCCAGAGAGTGAAGTTAAAGTATTTTTTTGAAACATTCATGAAGCAAGCAGAAAAATGAGATTGAGTGGATCAAAGGTTTTATGGTTACTTGAGCGAGTATAGAATGAGTAATGGGGAAGAGGTGACGTGGGGCAGGCCAAGCAAAAGAAACAAAAGGAGTTTGTAATTATCTTGTTGGGGGAAGGATATGAGGGAAGCGTTCAATAAAAGCCTACTCTGTCATTGACACAAAAGGAGAAAGAACGAAAGAGGAGTACCCAAAGAAAAGGGCAAAACCAAATACCAAATTTTACAGTGCAGCGGTTGATGCAAAGTTAGAATGACATATGGGCATTGGGGTGGCTATCAGAGAGACAATGGCAGACGAGTCATATTGCCCATTTGCCCTATGTATGGCCAAGAGAAAAGGTAGGCTTTCATTCTATGCATGATACGTGTTGCAGCTTTATGCACCTTGCAAGTGTTTTGTCGAAGATGTGGGTCTATAACTAATTTACAAGACATGTCTATATATCCTAAAGGAGATGCCTTTAATGGTGGTGATAACAACGTTTAGAAGGGAAAAATAGGATGAATATGTGTATCTATCTGAACATGGCCTCTGTAGACTTTGCAGCCAGGACTGGTACACCCTGCGCACAAACTGGCGAAGCAAGCTTTTAATGCTCAGATATCCAACCTGCACCGATAAAGGAGGCACCTGCCTTTTTATAGTGTTGAGCAGTTGAGTTATATGTGATTGTCTTTCCCTGGTCACTCTTTCTTCGTGCTAACAAGACCTTTCTATGGCGATGGTGAGGCCTAAAAATCTTTAGATTTCAGATTCAAGATTAGTTACTCTCTATATTATCAAGTTTGGGAATGAAAAAGGAAACATGATTGCCCTCCATAAACGGCAGAGAGTGACAATAAGAGACGTAAGTAAGCAATTTGGTCTCCGGAAATGGTTATTCCCACACATTCACGGATCATACAAACTACTGAAGCACATGACACCTATCATCAACCCGTGGATGCCAATGCCATTAACAATAATCATTTACGAATTGTCGTTTTTCTTTTGTGTTTCTTCAAAGATTCTTTTGATTTTTTTACCTCTCTTTTTGTCTCTTTTTTCATTATTATTATTATATATGTAAATGTTATATGAATTCGTGATGTACAGTATACATATATTGGAAAGTTTATACCAGATAACTTTCCATAAATAAAAAAAAATAAAGAAGGAAATTAATGTTGAAAATCTACAAAAAAAAAAAAGGGTAATGTAACAAGAATTATAAAAATTTATTGCAATAAAGACAATCTGCATTGGCAGTAGAGCTCAAAAATAATGACCTAAGATCAGACGTCAGATGATAATGAAGTCAATGGAGCGGTCCTACCTCACTATCCTGTCTGTTACACGACTGTTTTCAATCACTAGGCAGCAGCTTTTATATATGGCCCTTTGCAGATCTTGCTAGGTGCTACCATGGACAACATGAAGCCTGGGATGGATTTGGCTAGCCAGAAGAAGGCTGACGAAGATGTGAAAGAAGAGGAAAAGAGCAGGAGCAAGAGGCTTGGAGGCATTAGAACAATGCCATTCATTCTTGGTAAGTTGAACTTTTTGAACTCCAGCATTTCCAATAGCAAAAATTTTTGACGATTAAACGAGTTGTTAGCCAGAAAATTTAACTTGGTTTCTTTCAATATTTTTGACAGCAAATGAAATATGTGATAGATTTGCTGCCAGCGGATTCCACAGCAACATGATAACATACTTAACTCGGGAATTAAACATGCCTCTGGTACAAGCCTCGAACACTCTCACCAATTTTGGTGGAACGGCCAGCTTCACTCCCCTAATTGGTGCTTTGATTGCTGACTCCTTTGCTGGTCGCTTTTGGACCATCATTGTTGGTTCCGTTATTTATGAATTGGTCTCTCTCTCTCTCTCTCACTTTTTTTAGTTTGCTATTTTTAAGAGGACTGTGCCATTAGTAATGAATCTTTTAATTGATCACCCATTGCGCTGTATCTTGTTGCAGGGCTTGGTTAGCATCACCATTTCGGCAGTGCTACCATCGCTCCGTCCCCCGCCGTGCCCAACTCAAGAGCACTGCCAGGCAGCCTCAGCGTTTCAACTCTGGATATTATACATGTCTCTTCTCCTCACATCTCTTGGCACCGGTGGCATTAGGCCTTGTGTTGTTACATTCGCTGCTGACCAGTTTGACATGGACAAATCAAGCACTGCCCGGTCAGGAAAGTGGAATTTCTTCAATTGGTACTATTTTATCATGGGAATAGCAACGTTGACTGCCTTGACTGTGGTGGTTTACGTCCAAGATAATGTGGGCTGGGGTTGGGGTCTTGGGATCCCAACCATAGCCATGGCTATATCTATCATAGCCTTCCTCATAGGTTCAGCCCTTTATAGGAAATTGAAACCAGGTGGAAGTCCGTTGATTAGATTGTTTCAAGTGATTGTTGCGGCTGTGAAGAAAAGAAAAGAAATTGCACCTGAAGACCCCAAGCTCTTGTATCAGAACAAAGAGCTTGATGCGGCTATTTCTGTTCATGGAAGACTTGTACATAGTGATCAGTACAAGTAAGCTACGGTTTTTCATTTAAGAAATATTAGTAACAGTAACAAGAAGCTAATAATATCAGACGTTTAATATATTTGAATGCTTAAAATTGCTTCTTTAATCTCTATCAACAGATGGTTTGACAGAGCTGCAATAGTAACTGAAAGGGAGGCTACAAATTCCAACCCACCAAATCTATGGAGGCTAGCCACAGTCCATAGAGTGGAAGAGCTAAAAACCATCATCCGAATGTTGCCAATTTGGGCTGCTGGAATTTTACACGTCACCTCATCCTCACACCAGCACAGCTTCACCATCCAACAAGCTCGAACTATGGACCGTCACTTATCCCACTCCTTCGAAATCCCACCAGCCAGTTTGTCCATCTTTGGCATCCTAACCATGCTCTCTGGACTAGTTCTATACGAACGCCTCTTCGTCCCATTTGCTAAACGGTTCACCGGAAACCCCTCAGGAGTAACATGCTTACAAAGAATGGGCATTGGTTTCACGGTCAACATTCTAGCCACAATTGTTGCATCATTTGTCGAGATGAAAAGGAAAGCAGTTGCAGCGGATCACACCTTGTTGGATGACCCAAAAGCCATAATTCCCATCAGTGTGTTTTGGTTAGTTCCTCAATTTTGCCTTCATGGGATAGCAGAAGTTTTCATGTCAGTCGGGCACCTGGAATTTCTTTACGACCAGTCACCAGAAAGCATGAGAAGCACAGCTGCAGCACTGTATTGGATAGCAATATCGGTGGGGAACTACATAGGAACGTTGCTGGTATCTCTTGTTCATAAGTACACCGGACAGAAGAACAATTGGTTGCCTGACAGGAATCTCAACAGGGGAAGCCTAGAGTACTACTATTGGCTTGTTAGTGGCATCCAAGTTGTGAATCTTGTTTACTACGTAATTTGTGCCTGGCTTTATACTTACAAGCCATTGGAAGAAGTTAAGGAAGAAGATGGTGAATTCCATGAAAATAAGATTTCACAAAATGGATCGGAGCTTGCAAGAAATGAAACGGCTTAGTTAGATTGCTTCTTCAAGGGAGCAGGTGGTGCCTGCCCAATCGGATGGCAATGCATAGCGGATGTAATATAGTTAAACACCATGGATGGATCAGTAATTAATGCTAATGAAGGCCTTTACAAACTATTTTCAAGTTTTCTGTTAGTTAGGATGCAATTAGTTCAAACTGTGATTGAAAGCCCAAGCAACCAACAGCAAACTATAATTCTATCTTTACCTAAGAGGATGAGTTTACTGATAAGTATTTCATTTTTAGGTTTTGGTAATGTTAACTCTTGTATTAAATACAAATGGGTTATTAACTTGCATTAAACCAAATTAAAGTGATAAGCTTTCTTAATTAATGAAAATTCAATCTCAAATCCCTAAAATTTTCTTTTATGGAAAAGTTTAAATCCCAACATTAAACATTTTGGCTAAGCTCAATTTCTTTATAAAATTTATGGTTCTACCATTGCGAACGCAAGCAAACCGTGTAAGAAAGGAATCTTAATTAGGTGTGGTAATATCTAACCGTTCCCAAATTACAAAACCAATGATTATCAGCCAACTCAGCAAATGCAACCTCCGTTTTCTAAACGTCGAAACAAAGCACAGATAGCTTACGTGGCTAATTTTGACTGGCCGTTTGCTTAATATCATTACAGTTTCCAAACATATTTCTCTAAGTGTCAGCGTGGACCCGCTTTTTAATGGGTCCCTTTTAGGAAAAAGAGAAAACAAAAGATAGTGACTCGGGCCGGACGCTCAGTGAGTCGAATAACTCAGAGAGAACTCGTCCTCCTTTAGCTCTCTCTTTCTAGGTTTTTGTTTATATACTTTGAGCTCTCTTGCAAGCTCCTCGAGGTTTTAACCCCTCTCTTTCCTCGCACTTTCTCGCACTTTCTCGCGTTTTCTCTTCTCTGGTCGAAGCGCACCTCAGCTAGATCTCTGATTAGGTATAAACCACAAAATCTCTGCCTTTAATTTACATTTCTCTTCGTTGTTCCAAACTAAAGTATTGTTATGTTTCATTTCAAAGAAGAAATGTCAAAGTATTTTGTTTTTATTAGTAAATTTGAAGGTTTTTTTTTTCGTTATATGTTATTTGATTTCGTTAATTTTTTTTTGTTTTTTCATTTTGCATTTACATGCTTTTGCTCTCTGTTTTCAGCAACTCAGTTTCTTTTTTTTTTTCTTTATATGTGCATGTGCATGTGCTGTTGCTTTGCTCGTTTTTGATTAATATGTTAGGTTTAGCACTCCAATGGGATTATATTTGAAGGAGGAGCACGAATAGTTTGGAATTACCTGGAATATTTGCGTCGTTTGATTTGATCTTTTTTTTGTTGTGCTAATAGTTAATTTCACTTTGCAATAATCAAAGTATTTTTTTTAGGTGTAGGTTTTGACGGTTTCTCCTCTAAGTAAACACTGAAGATTTTATTTAGGGCGAAGTCTTTAATTTAATTGAATGTGGAATAAGCATTGAACGGTTCATGATTTTGATATACCTTAGCTTTTGATGGAAATGTTGCTGCTATAAAAATTGTATGTTAGTACATTAACTGAAGAATGATGTTGTTGAAGCTTCTGAAAACAAATGTTGCGGGAATAATTTCAAAAATAAGATCTCTAAGGATGGGGACACTTGTCTGTTTTCTGAAATTGAGCCGCTGCTCATCTTGGTATGGAGAAAAAGCTGCCTTAAATCTGTTCTCTATGTTTGTACTTCGAATTTTTTTGGAAAGGAGAGAGTATTTAAATGCTCTTGGCATATATTATTAGAAAGTGACAACTAGGCATGTATAGTTCTCTATCAGTCCTTCGAGCCCATCTTGTGCCCTTCCCCTGCCCATATACCCCTTTCTTATTGACCACTCTCTCATTAAAGCGTGGTTCTGAGCACACTCTGCAAACTGATCCTTCTAACTAGTCTGAGTTCCTTGTTGAAGAAGTTCCTTTGCAAACAGCATGCATCATTGGTCCTCAAACTCCACATACTTCAGAGGAAATGTTTAGCTCCTAACAGGGAGTAATACGGCTTCTCAAGAAGACATTTTTACCTTTCTGTGATATCTTTCATCATACCTTTTGATGTTCTTTCTTAACATGGTAAAACAAAGATATTTTCTGGTAATTTCCTTGAATGTTTTAGTTACTGCAGTTTTTATAGCATCTGAATGGTCTTTCTTAATCTGCAGCTACTATCAGGTATCATCAATATGCATGCTTAATACACATGCCGTTGAGAACTTAGAATGTTGTCTAGTAATGGAAAGATAATTTGGTTCATAAAGAGCGTTCTTGCTTGCATTTAGCTTAAAAGAGGGTATAATAGGCTTACTTGTTAGAATGTTTTGTTCTCTTACTTTACTGTTTGATAGAGGTTCTTGTTTCTATGTAGTTAATGACTTCATAATTGCCCGTGTTTAATTTAGATTATTCTTTGAAAAGTATATTAACTGTTGATAATTGTCCAGAATCATGTGCCATTAACAATGGCATAATTGAAAAGTTATACATGCAAGAATGTTTAGGCAAAGCAATTTCTCTGCTTATTATTATTATTTTGTACTTTCCTCTTCAAGGTGTTGTTATACTTGGAAGTTTATGGAAGAATACAATCATCAAAGCTAGTGTTTGCCTATGTATTCAAAAAGATCTGGTCAAGGAGATGGGCCAGTTTCTAGGCCTGTGCGCACAAGTGATAGGCTTAGAAGAAGGCCAAAAGTGTATGGCCGCCCATATTTGTATTACACTCCAACCATCATTCGAACTAGGAAAAGCAAGACAAAGACAAGGACAGCAGCATCTCGCATTGCCAAAATGTTGCGCTCAGGGGATCGGCCAGTGCGGACTGCAAACAACAATGTAAGTTATGCATTCTTATCCAAATGTATATACCATGCTGATAGTCTTTAAGCAGTTTAGAGAAAAATTGTAGCTTGTCCAGTTTGGATGTGAAGTTTGTCTAGGCTGTAGATATCATAAAATTATAAAGGGATTGGGTAATTTAAATGTTCTTCTCCTACGTGATTATAGTAGTTTTATACTTATATTGCAGACATTAAGCCTCTGTTTTGTTGTTGCATTTGCTACTTTAATTTTGCCATTTGCTTCTTGAAAAGCTACTATAAAGTAGAAGAAAAAGTTAAAATGCAGAATCATAATTGGTTAAAAATTGGACATATATAAATATAACACCAATATAACATAATTAGTTTATATCAAGTAGAATCATGCATTTTGTTATCTAACGAAATTAAATATTTTATTATAATTCTTTGAAGATTTTGTTTGACTCTATATCCAAGCAGTCCCTTTTGCTTTTTGCTTTCTGGAAGCAAAAAGCAACAGCCAAAAGGACTTTAAGTGAGTTTCTGCTGCCATTATAAAAGAAAAGAAACTTATTAGCGGATACTATTATTTAGCACTTGAAAATGGTTCATTTGTTTCCTAACAGATATGCAAGAGACCGTCACCAATCACCTATGTGAAATGCTTAAGAATTACAACATAGATTACTTTAAAGACTATTTAAAATGGAAAGGATTTATTTCAACTTCGCGCCATATGTTTAACCTATTTCTTTCTCTTGTTATGTCTATAACCTTTTGACTGCTTTTGCTGTGTCTACGTCTCTTGAACCTAGGATGGTCCATGCAGTGTTGAGATGAACTTGGATGGCATTGCAAACTGTTTACTCATGCTAAAACCATTCCTAACCTGGCTTAGATTTTGTTTATGATTTTAGTATAACTGTAAGCATTAATTATTTGTTGACACTTGATATCATAACTTTTATGGTGACATTAATTTTGTGTTGCAGCTGTATCATATTGCATTTTCAGATACCAGTTCCTTGTTCTGCTGCTTTCTAGATTAAAATATAGATTCCTATTTCTCCCTTATGTCAGGCATTCTTATAGGAGGCCATGTGCCATGTAGGTTTTCTTTAATAAGTTGCATCTTTGCATGCTTTTCATATCACCGCCCCTTCTCTTGAAGCCAATTACATCAAAATGATTGATTTTGTAAATGATGTCATGTATTCTGAATTTGATTAATTTTAGTCATCCTTTTGTTGCAGTCAGGCACACCCAATCTTCGACGTTCATCAAGAAAGAGGAGAGTTTCTGTGAATCTTACTGGTTATACTGACAGTTCCGGTTCAGAGGATGAAGACATGATGGTAACAGAATTTTGGAAATCAATTTCTTTTCTCGGATTTGATGGGATATCAATATTAACACATCCCAGAAAATGTATTCTATTTCAACATCTTACTATTTTTTTTTTCAGAGACCTTCATATCGACCTTTGAGGAACCAGGTTGATAACAGTGTAAGTCAAGATGAGTTTCCTTCTCCCAAGCGTAAAAAGACTACAGAGCCTAAAGAAACTCCTCGGCGTGAAGGACTGCGCCCTCGTCGTCCAAAAGCAGTTGCAATTAAACGAATGAATTTGGATTTTGGTGATGAGCAAGACACTTCAGAGGAGAAAGTTGGCGAGGATGAAACTGAAAATGGGAATGATTTAGATGACGATGCTGCAGATGATGGCCAAAATGAGGAAGAGGGTGATGCTGAAGATGAAGGTGATGGAGAGGCTGAGGGTGAAGATGAAGGAGAAGATGATGGTGATGACGAGGATGGTGAAGAAGAGCAGGAAGGAAGGAGGCGATATGATCTTCGAAATCGTGCTGATGTACGCAGGCTTTCTATGGATGAGAGCAAGCAAAGAGCCAGATCTCCTCGGAGGGTTTTGCATCAAGGAATGGGGACTAAGGTCAGCAGGGATGTTAGGAAGGGTGGATCACGAGTTCATAAGCGTCATCGCCTAGCAAGAGCTGAGGATTCTGATGATTCTCTTCTTGTGGATGAGCTGGATCAGGGCCCTGCTATTCCCTGGGGTCGAGGTGGGAGCAGATCTGGACCACCTTGGCTATTTGGGGGACTAGACATGCATGGGACAACAACATGGGGATTAAATGTTGCTGCATCTGGTTGGGGTCATCAAAGTGATGCTTTTGCCACATTGACTTCTGGGATTCAGACTGCTGGACCAAGTTCTAAAGGAGGGGCAGATATTCAACCCTTACAGGTTGATGAGAGTGTAAGCTTTGATGAAATAGGCGG